TTTCCACGCCACTCAGCCTCCCCTGGATCTTCATCACCCCCCTCTCAAACACTCCAGGTCCCTAACTGCAAGTAAGAATTGCTGCTCTTATACTGGCCACTTCTGAGCTGCCTTCACTACCTGCCTAACTCCTATATTCTCTTCCCTCAGTGTGACTGTTCCCCACTCAGCTCCGTTCCGCTTCTCAGGCCTCGTTCCCTCGCCCTAGCCACGTTCCCCTGGGCACGCCACACCAAGACTCCACGTCTCGTCATTTTCTGTCTTTGCCACGTTTCCTTTTTCTTCCCCCTTTGCACTTAACTGTAATAAACTGTTAAATCATCTACTGTCTCCGCTCTGGGTTTCTGCACCTGAGTCCTATTCAGTACCGGCCATCCGTCGCCGTGACAGTTTATATATATTGTATTCAACTTTCTTTATAATTATAAATTAAAATTGCAACCATTAATAACAAAAGTATGCTAAAATAACAAGCATTACAGGAACTACTTAATGAGTCCTATTAGCTAACTGGCCCCTGCCATATGTATTCCCAACTAGCAGCAACACTAAGAGCATCTTTCTAACAGTTCAAAATGCGTAGCTATCCCATTTTATCATCAGCGTCTTTGCTGCACTGTCAGGTGGTGGTGCTGTTAGATGAATCTGCGTTATGTAAGCTTGGAATCGGAGCATTTTGGAGTTCAACTCCAAACATCAGAGGCATTAAAGACTCCCTATTTTGCCACAAGCCCTTTTCTTTTAGACGCCTCTGAAATGTGTTTCAAATGACAGATCTGAAGTCAAAGGAAGGAAAGTTTTGGAGATGGATAGAACAGAATGAAACGCAGCATATTCAGCCAGTTTCAGGAAGAGCTCAGACCATCTGCTCATCAACGTGGCTGGAACTTCATTAAAGCCTCACGCCTGTTCCTTTCATCACTGCGTGGCTTTGCCCATAAACAAAATCTTGTCCATACAGGAGTGGTCAAATTGCCTAACATAGGATATGGTAGGCTTATGGTAGGCTTTGACCTTTTTTATTTCTGCACTGACAGTTCTGAAACCACACACACATACAGATGTGCACGATACAAATGGAGACATTTACAGCTCGTTCCACTGAAGCCTTTAAACCTTTCCTAAGCCTTTTTAGCTCTGTAGCCTTTCTGGCCTCAGCTCTTTAAACAGAAGGCTGAATCGATTCCCATGGATTGCTGTGAATCTCAAGGCTCTGTAGGTTTTTGCTTCATGTGCGACCTCAGTCCGAGTCAGTGGCTTTAATGCCCAAAACACACACATACACAGGCACAGCAAAACTAAACTTTCCCCCCCAGGGTTTCCCAGCCCACTCTGAATAATTCACCGAACCTGCTTTGTTCATCGATCGCCCTCTCCACCTCTCGCTCGCAAAGACACATCTTTCACTTAACACACACAGCCAGGAGCAGCATAATGGGCATCATTCATTATAATTCACCACCACTGTGGCTATTGTGTCTGCTAATACTTTCTACAGGCTCAACTTTATAACCCTTTGTAACCACTTGTTTTCAAGATCATTTCAAAGAAAAGAGCCAAAATGTCAAGTAGACTGGAGTAAACAATATGACTAACTGTCAGTGCCGAGCTATCAAATCAGCTTTTCTCTTTGCCTACATTGTTTTCACAGCACGCCAAAATATACCAGACTCCGCAAAAGCCTTTCCTGCCTCTCAAGTAGAGTCAAAAGCAATTATTAGGATTTAGATTCAGACCTGCTTTAATAATTCAATTGATACCAGTTTCCCCCAGATGCTTCAAGCCATTTCAATATTTAGCATAGACGTTAAAGCTCATAATGATCTTGCTGTTCTTTTGAAGATATTTTTGAACTTTCCCCAGCTGGCTCCCTAAATGATACGCTCTCAGACTTTCATCTCCTTTGTGCTGCTCCAAGTTGTCCCTTTATGTCAGCCTTAGACGTTTTCTCCTTTACATTCATCATATTCTAAAGACAACATCATTACCCATAATTCTTCATGTCCCTGCAAGGTTTTTTTTTATTATCCTGTCTTCCTTTTGTCACCCCAACCGGTCGCAGCAGATGGCCGCCCCTCCCTGAGCCTGGTTCTGCCAGAGGTTTCTTCCTGTTAAAAGGGAGTTTTTCCTTCCCAGTTTTGTTGTGATTTGGCACTATATAAATAAAATTGAATTGAATCTTCTGCGTAGGATGAGCTTTGTGTTCGTGTGATTATACAATGCTTGCAACGCACTTCTCTTTCCCTTTAACATAAGATTGATGTTATAGATTTTTTAACAAAATACTTATAAATAATCACTGTCCACCAAACTGTAGTGAAACTTGAAAGAGTGCAGTGCAAATGAGAAGTGAAACAAAAAAAGTGTCATGTCTTGTCGCTGTGACCAACAAATTCCAAAATATGCAACTTTTACTTTGAAGGCAAACGTTCTCTGTTTTCAATTGGCGCTATACTTTTTACAGATTCAGTGCAGCTTTGCAAGTAGTTGGCAAGTGTTTGCAGACAGGTTGGCATCTTGCACACATGCTATTACTGACTGCGGCAACCTGCTTGTGACAAAAGCAACTGCAAGGAGGTTTTGGTGCAGCACCACATACCTCTTTGCGACCAGTTTCACATTAGAGTCTGCCAGCAACCTCTACCAACCACTTGCCAACCTGTTGCAGAATAAAAACGTCTGCCTAGTTACCAGTGAGTCACTGACTGGTCTCTAGACCTATGGGCCCTCAGCAATTTCTTTTATTGTTAGCAACAACTCACAACCAGTCAGGTAATGCATATTTTTCAGATAGACATTGAAGTCCAATCTGGATGACAAACAATGGTCTGAACTACACAGGAGACTATGTTATTTAATTTAATTCAATTAAAATGCTCTAAAAGGCACTAACACTACAAACATGGTGGAAACATCCAGTTAGTGAAGGTAACAGCAAGTACACAGCTGTCAGCTGACGCTAAAGCTGCCTATGTCAGAATGATGCTAACCAAAGCAGTCATTTTGCCATCTCCCAGTAATCAGGAGGAGTAGTTATTTTACAAAATCACCAGGGAGAAACCATCCATAGAGACCAATATTGTTTTTGTATGAGGGTGTAAACATGCTGTAAAGCTTGTAAAGCTGTGTATTTTAACATTTAACAGTCTCTGGGGATCGGCTCATTTTTAAGCCAGCTTCAAATGGCCACTAAAGGAGCTGCAGTAGTTCCAGCTGGCCGCTTAGTGAAAGTTTTTTTTCCTGAAAACATGTGGCTGCAAACCAGTCATCTACTGCTATCACCTGCTAACATATCTTAGTTATCAAATTAGCTACACATTCTCCCAAGGACCAGAAATGGTGAGCA